TGCTTTGGTTTCCTGTTATTTTCTTTACATGACATACAATAAATTTACCACACTTTCTCTGAAATTTTTGTATATCTCAACATTTTTTAATCCACAATTCATTGGCTTTCTTTATTGTTTGTTTTATCTCTTTTTCTATTTTTTGTATTTAGTTACGTGATTCGTCTTTCCTCGTCAGTAAATAAAAGTAATTTGTATATTAACCCAATATTTTATTTTTTTGCTCTATTTTAGTTCCCATCTGCCGTATAATCTTGACCCATTTTTGGATCAAAATTCATTATTTGAGACGCTCGGTAGGGCGACTTCAAAAATGCCTAGAAAAAACAACAGCCATGATTTTGACAATGGCCTGTCAAGCCGAAACTGTCAGTTGAATTTAAATGGTCAAAAAAAGATTCGTGCGAAGACAATGATAGAGGGGGATGGGATACACAATCAAATTTTCAGTAGAGTATCGAATTGGATAAGTTCTAACGATTTTTTTCGTCAAGAAAATAAGGCGGATACCGACGTAGAAACTATTATTACGAATAGCATACTTACCGATGTAACTTCAGGTAAATTCGTGCAAATATTGCCAAAAATTAAGCTTAGTACAATTTATTTAACTTTTTATTAAATGTATGCATGTGATAATTAGCAATGGCGGAAGATTTCTTTATTCTTTGACTTGCACAATGCTGACAAACAGTTATAGTTTTATACATGTATATTTGAAGTGCATATTTCGATTATACTTATACATTTTGTATTAAATTATTTGTTGGTTATCTTTTTGTCGAGTATCGGCAGAATTTAATATTTTGATATTATTCGGTACTTTTTCTTTTATAGGATTAACAAAAGTGACGTTTTATTTCCATGTTTTTAAAAATATATTAAAAGCTATTTATATAACAACTATTCGACATCGAAGAGCAAATTTGATACCATTTTATTCAGTTCTAATAATCGTCTAGTGAAATTTTCAACCGTGTCGTACACCTTTTTCGATTGAGAAATATGATATAGATTCCAGTCCTACTCTCACAGATGCCACTTGATTCATATAAAGGTTCTTTATGATTTTAAGGTCATTCTCATCTATCGAACGTTCCTGGAGCAATCTTACCAATTCTGAATGATTAACACAATCGAACGCTTTCTGGTAATCTATAAAGCATAGGAAGACATCCTTTTGCTGATCTCTGCATTTCTGTAATCTATGGTAGGAAAGTTGAGCTATAAAGTGCTTCTCTTGTGCCAAATCCTTTTCTGAAACCGAACTGTGTGGGATTTTGGGATTGGTATAAAGGTTGATTGAAGCCAGTTCTCTGGTATTTGACCGGACCCATAAATGTCATTAAAAGATCTACCAAGGCGTCTATATTGTCTTTACTCAACATTGTTAGAACCTCTATGTATATGTCGTCTGGGCCTGGTGCTTTTGCCCATTTGCTCTGTTTGATTGCCCTTACAACTTCTGACCTCAATATTTTGGATGAGAGTTCACTTTTATATTCACGTTCAGAGTTTTTTCTAGTGTTGTCTGAGTATAATTGCTGTGTGTAGTTTCTCCAATGTTGAAGTAGATCTTTGGGATCAGTAATTAATTTATTGTTCTTTACAATACTGTTAAAACTGCAAGGTTTTGTATGACCTGTCACTTCTTTAACGAGTTTATGTTAAAGTGGTCATGTTTTTCTTCCAATTTCTCCATTTCTGCACGCCTTTCTAGCAGCCACTGTTCTTTAGCTTTGCGACACTCTTTTCGTATTTGTCGGTTAATCTGCGCTGATGTTTGGTTCGGTCTTTGTTTTTAAATGATATGCAGTCGTCCATCATTGATAATATTTGCTCAGTAATCCAATTCTTCTTTTTATACTTTTGAGAAGGGACAATTTGATTTCTTACGATGTGTCTTACATACGTCGATACGTCTTACATACTCATGCGTATGTTGTGGAGACTGCCAGGTGTAGAGTCTCCGAGGTGACAGTTTGTACCAGGTATTCACAATGACCAATTTTTCTTCTTGACAGAACTGGATTAGCATATCACCTCTCTCGTTTCTATCTCCCAAATTACAGTCACATACGACATCTTCAATACGTCCTCGCCCTACGTTTGATCCTCCTAACGTTTTCAATTACATTGGCGAGTTTTTCACGGTCTTCATCCAATCGAAATAGTTGTTGGGCACTGCTCATTCCTGTCCGATCACGAATATTCTTGAGGCATGACATTTGAATGAGCTAAATGATTCTGTACCGTTCTACGTTAAGAACATGGCCTAGATGTAATTTTTTTTATTTTTATTGTTTTCAATATCTCACGAACGGCATTTGCTTTATTTAACACAGCTTCGTTTGTCTGCATCGCTGTCCAAGGTATTCTGAGCATTCTTGTATGCAGCCACATCTCAAATGCATCTAGACGATTGATCTTATCAGTCTTTAGAGTCCAGGTCTTGGTGCTATGTAATAACACTGACCAAATATAGCATTTGATCATTCTTCGACGTAATTTTAGGTACTTATAAGCACAACCTGTAATTACAGAAGAATGATTTTATTTTTATAAACGTTGTTCAAGCTACTTCAACCTCGCTTTGCTTGGGGTTAATTGGTATGTAATGTAGCATCCCAGATATTTAAAGTAACTCTTTAAATGATTCGTTGATCTATCTGTAGGGAAGCATTGTCATGAGGTGGGAGACTTTTCCATTTAAAAAAGTCTAATTTTTTATGAACTCTTTATCTGTGACTATATAGATAAACTCATCCACTTGCTTCCTCGCGTATGTTTGCGATTGTTTAGCTCGGTAATCAACGTTCTTCTGTGTGATAAATCTTATGAACGTATCACACTTATCGATTACAACTCCTTTATATAATTTTAAAAATGCTCGTAGCATTAAATATTTTGGCCACAAAAAAAGATAGGGAATACTAACGTGAAACCCTTTCTCGTTCACGTCAGTATATATTTTCCATGATAAGTTTCTGGATGAAAAATAGCGATTTTTTATGCATTAGATAACATCAGAATGTTTATTGTAACAACCAACGCTTTTCAATGTTACGATAAAGCTTCGAATATCACTCGAAGTCTACGTGATCAAAAATCGTCTACTGGACTTAAAAATCTCATAATCTTCTCGTAATATTAATAGCTATAATTTTTCGTTTAGTATCAAAAATGGACGAATACGATGGTATTGTAGTCGAAGAAAGAACCGATGTTATCAATTTTGCCAATTCGAAGCCTGAAAAATCTTCGGAAGAAAAATTCATGGAAAAAATGAAAGCTTTTAATAGTAGAGCAGTAAAAAATTTGTCAAAATTTTCACATTATTCCCCGTTTCAACTTGCTGGTGCCCTGAAGTCACATTCTGCCCCACCCACACAATTTTCAGTTATCGTCGAAGCAGAGGAAGTCCCAGTAGGTGACAACCGTTTTCTTTCATTTTATTTATATCAAAAGTTTTTTAAGAAAAAACATTTGCCTAAGTACAGTTTTTTAAGAAAATAGTTTTCAGAAAATAACAAAACTTTATCATTTATAGACTCTTTTACTTTTACTATCAATTATTCGGCTCTTTTGGACATGTTTTGTGTGGACGACCCTTAAGTGAGTAGCTACTTATAAGAAGCTACTTATAATTGTAGGGAAACGCCGAAATGAACCCTCCAATGAATCAAATATGCATAATCGGTTATTCTAAATGCGCCTACAGACTACCTGTGTCATTTACAGTGTTCGTTCTGCTTGGGTGACTCGAGACACTCGTTATCGTATTGTAGATAGTGAAGCGATTTATACACCAAGCCAGATAAGTGAAGCAAGTCGGTTACTGTCGTGGATTGGGCAATTATCGCTATATTAAAGGAATGCTCTAAGGGAAAAGGAAATCTAGACTATTTAGCCCAAGCCAGAAAAATCATACTAGCTTCACAAGCACGGGAGCTCTCGAGCAATGCGAGTAGTCTGTACACGTCTTAATACCTCCAATTCTTTTAATTTGAATTACAACTTTTATTTTTTACAGTTTTAATTTGTGAAAAATAGAAGTGCCTTATGATCTCATCTCTTATTATAGAAAACACAATTGAAACTTGATATTTTTAATGATAATTGATTTATTTTTATTGTTGGTGTCCATAATAAAATCAGTTCAAGAAGTAATTCATGACATAATATTTAGAAAGTTCAATTCTAGGCCAGTTTGGTTCAACATTTACATTTACTTTTTTTACAATAGCAATTTAACTACGTTTTTGTACCTCAATAATTTATTTGGTATCTTCAGATACTAATAATTAGCAAAAAGTTAATATTACGAACTCAGAAAAAAATGATAAACTACGTTGCCAATTTGAAAAACTAAAACTTCACAAACCGAGAGATACCTTCTTGAAAATCGAAGTACTCGTCTATTCTTTGCTATGTGTAGTATTATACTAACTATAAAAGTTAAAATTCTCCGGCTTGTCGAATGTGTAGACGTGATAAGCTTGAGCAAGTTTAAAGCGTCCTACATATAGGTCATCAGATATATCTGGGTTTAAATAAAAAAATATATTTTAATGAAAATAATGACCTGTTGCAACTTCTGACAGTACTTCTAGAAACATCTTCTTTATCATGTCTAAATAAAAGAAGAATAATTACGCAGCCTCGTCGATTTATTGGGGCTCGTTAAACAGATTCAGATAAAAGATACTTAGGCAGAGAGAGAAATGCAGTATTTTGTTTTAACAAATATCTTAATTTCTGGAATAAATGACATAGCGTCATGTATTTTATACATATCACAAATAGCAGAAATATACACTACTGTGTTCACACGTTGACTACATAACCGCTGAAATATTTGAAAATACTTCTATTTTCCAGAAAAAAATTTCTGTTGCAATAAATTCTTATTTCCATGCAATTGTTATTGTCACACATGATTTACTCGATTTTATAAACACTTCGTTGAAAATTTACTCAATTATTTTTTTTAATTCTAGGATTTACCTGTTGCAAATACAAAAATGAGCGAAATTTCCTTCAAAACAATTAAAACGTCCAATATACCACCGACAATTACGCAACCAAACAGACCCTCGAGTAGGCATAAACACAAACACACGGATATGGTCACTCAGAAAGTGGGCAGCGTTGACAGGAAACCAAGAAAAAGAAGAACGATGGAGAAAGTCGGAGCGAGTGTGGTAAGTTTTTTATTTGTCTCTATTACTATTTTAGAACAGAACAAAATCTTCTGAAGAAAACTCCTGTTTACTCCAGATCAAACCTATATTCCTAAAATAATAAATATTTTCCCATCCCATCCTAATACCATATTATCTTTTCCAGATGTTTCACCTGTTCTTAAATGGTTTTGTACAAGCCGGAATAGTTGGGATTTTACTTTTTTTGTTAGATATAATTATAAACTCTGAACAATACGGTTTCCAAAATTATATATTTAGCTCTTAGTAGTAAATTTTATGAATAATATCTGTAGTTTTATTGTGTTATAGTTATTTATTTTAATTATAATAATTTCTAAATTAGTCTAAAATACATACCGATGCAGCAATTTTTCAACTACCGTATACATTATTTAATATGTGGAACAGAGATAACAATCGTTTGAATGCGAGTGAGACACAATCCACGCATGTGGAGTAGCGAGTCTAATTTTTAAACAGTGTTGCAACATTTCTGTTATCGTTCCTTCTAAAATATTAGTCGGATACATGAGTGTAACATAATATTTAAATCAACTACAGTTCATTGTAGAATGAAAATTAATATTGCCCCAAAAAAACTTACATGAAGTAATCATATAACTGTTATTTTTATAATTAACAAAGAACACTGAATTGAGCAATTGATATGCGGCAACAGCGTGAGCTAAATAAATAACTCACTTCAGTAGACAGACAAATAATATAAACGGTTTGCCCTCTGTGCTTCTTCTTCTTCCTATGCCGTCCCCATTAACGGAGGTTGGCGACCCCATTTTTAAAAGCTTTTCTGTCTTTTGCAACGTGGAATAATTCGTCTACAGTCATGTTTGTCCAGTCTCGAATATTTCGCACCCATGACTTCCTCTTTCTACCTATTCCCTTTTTGCCATCGACTCTACCCTGCATGATGACCTGCAGAAGACTATATTTATTATTTCTTAGTATGTGTCCAAGGTATGCAGTCTTGCGTACTTTTATCGTTCTCATCAATTTTTTGACTCGACCCATTCTTCTCAGCACTTCCTCATTGGTGACCCTGGCAGTCCATGGATTCTCAACATTCTCCGGTATATCCAAAGTTCAAAGGCTTCAATCTTTTTAACTATTTGCGCTTTTAGTGTCCATGTTTCTACCCCGTACAATAATTGCGACCAGACGTAACATTCAACAAACCTCAGTCTCAGCGCAATATTCAGATTTTTGTCACAGAACAATTGTTTGAATTTTAAGAACGCTGCCCTTGCCATTTCTATTCGTACCCGGATCTCTTGGTCTGGATCTAATTCTGTGTTGATGTAAGCTCCCAGATATTTATATTTTGTCACTCTCTCTATTTGCTGTCCACCAAGAGTTAGTTGTTCATTATTTATTGGACTCCTTGATACTATCATAAATTTGGTCTTATCTGTGTTGATGTCAAGTCCCATTTGAATGCATTCACTATTTATTGCATCTAGTAAAGTTTGTAGATCTTCTATACTCTCAGCCATAATTACCGTGTCATCTGCAAATCTCATGGTGTTTATGATTTCTCCACCAATTCTTATTCCCTCTTTTCTTTCCCATAAGGCTTTTCTGAATATGACCTGTGAGTACACGTTGAAAAGCGTCGGAGACAAGACGCATCCTTGCCTAACCCCTCTCGCAATCGGTATATTATTTGTTTCTATATCGTTCACCTTTACTACTGCTTTTTGGTTCCAGTATATAGCCTTAATAAACTCAATGTCTTTTTTGTCTAAATTGATGTTTTTTAATTCATCTATTAACTTCATATGCTGCACTCGGTCAAAGGCCTTCCTAAAGTCTATGAAGCATACATATGCACTCTTGTTATATTCTCGACATTTCTGCAAGAGTACCGTCAACGCAAATAATGCCTCTCTTGTACCCATGCCTCCTCTGAAGCCAAACTGAGTTTCATCTATCTGTTCCTCACATTTCTTATAAATTCGGTTTTGAACAATTTTCAAAAGAATCTTGGGTGGCACATTAGGCTTATCAATCTATATTTGGGATTGTTGTTTTTTGGTAGAGGTAAAAATATCGATTTAAGCCATTCTTCCGGGATGTTGCCCTCTACATATATGTGGTTGAGAATTCGGGTGAGTCTCTTTATATTACCGTCATCTAAGGCTTTTAACAGTTCAACTGGAATTTGATCAGGACCCGGTGCTTTTCCTTGTTTTGCATTCTGTAGGGTATTCTTTACTTCTGAGGGTAAAATTTGTAGGTATTGTTTTTCTTCACCTATATCTTGTTCATTTTCTCTCTCGTCATGGAAAAGATTGTCAATTATTAGTCAATGTCAATAAAGTCATTATTATCTCTTGTTATGAGTGTTCTTCTTTGTCTGGTGTTGCCTGTAAATTCTTTAATTTTTTTATGTAAGTTTGAGGTGTCATGTTTGTTGCTGAGTTCTTCCAATTCCTGGCATTCTTTGTTCATCCATTCCTCCTTAGCCTTTCTGATTTCATATTTGATTTTATTCTTGATGGTTTTATATTTATTTTCATCTTTATTTTTGTATTTTCTTTTTTCAGTTATTAGCTCAACTATTTCCGGTGTCATCCAGTATTTTTTAGTTATTTTCTCTTCTTCGCCTAGAACCTCCTTTCCCGCTTTTAGTATGGCTTTTTTCATATCTGCCCATTCAACGCTTCCTTCAGTTAATTTATTTACCTCTGCGTTTAGTTGCTGTTGGCAGTTGTCGTCTTTTAGGTTTTTGATGTTAATTTTGGTGGTTTTAACTTTTTTCTCCAGTTTCCTGAGTTTAATGTTGACGTTTGCTAGTAATAGATTATGATTCGTATCTGCATCTGCGCTTGGATAGGTTTTTGCACTTTGTACTCCATTACGAAACCTTTTGTTAATCGTTATAAAATCTATTTGGTTTCTGATTATATTGTTGGTGTTATCTTTTGGTGAAATCCACGTGTGCCCTCTGTACAAGTGTATAATTTCCCCTCAAAATAATAGGTGGTGCTTATCTGTACAGCAGGTTTGATTTTTAAGTTGACCTAAAGGAGAGGAATATTTTAAAAAGAAATGAATACAATTTCTATAAAGTGCAATCTACCTAAGAACTTTTACCAGTCGATCATCTTAAACGTTTGAAATTTTTTGGAACTATGATGGAGAAATCGAATGAGAACAATAACTTTTTAAAAAATGTTTTGTTTTCCGATGAATCTTCATTCACACAAACGTTATAATCCATCTGTCGTCCGCCATTGGTCTAGGGAAAATAGACATTTGAGTATTGCTGTGAAAACACAATACCCAAAGAAATTAAATGTGTGGACTGGAATTTATAACGATAATTATAATTGGTCCATTTTTTACGGGAAATCTGAATGGACGTAAGTATCTAGATTTATTACGCAATCAGATTATTCCAGCAGTTCGATACCTTGCGATGGTGTCTGGTTTCAACAGGATGGTTGCCCAGCACTTAATGCAATCGAAGTTACAAATTATTTGGAATCAACATTCCTTGGACAATTAATTTCTACAAGAGGAACAATAAAATGGCCCCCTAGATCACCAGAGTTAGCACCTTTTGATTTTTATTTCTGGGGAATGCTTAAATTAAAATTATATCGGCATGAATTCGAACGAGCCACCAATTTGGCAGAATTGCAAGAAAAAATTGTTCAACTCTGTAGTCGAGTACAGCCAAATCAGCTAAATGCAATGAGACTTGCATTTAAGTGGTTAGAGTTTTTTTTAAATGCCTTTAATTTTAATTTAATGATTTAGAATAATTTTTTTTGGTTGGTTTTTTTCGCTCACAAAATATTTTAGATTTCTTTAGAAATACTCTATATAGTTAGATAGCTCATTTTCACATCATGTTTGTACTTATGTTTAATTGTAGTTATTTTTGTTCATAATTCATATTTGTAATTTTAATATAAAGGAAGAACGTCAGAAGATGCTTGAAGAAATCGCCGCCAATCGGGCAGAACGACACAACAAAAGAAAATATCAGAGAAAGTTGCAAACCGAACAGTTTCTTAAGAGTATGCAAATGCTTCAAGCGAACGCCAAAGCAGATTCGCAACCGTTTGAAGATTATGCGATCTTTTTATATCGTCAAACTGCGCCTAAGTTTGAAGATAGGGTTAAAGACTTAGAGAAACAGTTTACTTATGTTCCTGTAAGCAGTGTGCTGTTAACCACTAATCTGTTTGTGTTGTGTTCTACTAAAAATTTTAAGTCTTGTAATTAGTGTTAATGTAGCAAATATTAATTAGATTTTTTGTATTTTTATTTACTATAAAGAATCGACACAATATACTCGTACTTACACAACTGACCTTTGGACGATGAAATATACTTATAATTAAACCTTTTTAATAGGTTTTCTTTGGATATTGATGCTTGTACGTCATTTCCGTTTATTATGAAACTTTTCATGCAAGTATCTAATGCCATTTTTTTTTGTTACTAACCGGTTCCACCAAAAATGGACTCAATTTATTTATTTATGTATTTATTGGTACACCATGTATCTTTTTGCAGATTTTAAACAGACTAAAGAATAGGTAAATTTATTTACTAAGGCCAATAAGAATAATATTTTAAAAAATCACTTCAATTGTTCAAAATGCTCTCCATCCACCTTCTGACAATGTGCAAGCCTACTACTAAATTCGTGAGTCACCCTTTGCAATACTTAACCGCTTATAAGCTCACATTTATCAATAATCCTTCTTCACATATCCTACATCTTGATCGCCTAATGTAAAAAACGTGATTTTAATGACCCCAAAGAAAAAAATTAACGTTTTAAGATCCGGTAAACAAGTAGGCCTATCATTAATCATCTATGTCCAATCCATCGATTTGGATGATTCTCATTCAAAAATCTCTTAATTCGTTAATAATGATGGGGAGGCGCTCCTTGTTAAAACCAATTTTGTGGTAACTGGTCATTCTGTTCACAATAATTTGGTATATAGTAAAATATATACTTGTCACCAGTCAAGTCTCAATTTTTGAAAAATGGGCTTATAAGTCTATTTTGGACAATTCCCGTACAAACATACAACTTTTTTGGATGTTGGGTATGTGCTTCATGAATACAATGAGGATTATCATTTGACCTATACCTAGAGTTATGGCGGTTAACTGTCCTAGTTAAAAAAAGGTACCTCATCAGAAAATACTACATTAGCTGCAAAATGTACCTTCTTCGGATGAATTTTTTCAATTTGATTGTAGATTTTCCTTGTAGATCATCGACTTATACCATGGTTTAGTGCCAAATTTTTTTGTTTAAGTTTAAAGCGACTTTGTCCATATGTTCATTCGTTGCAGTTCGCGTCCTTCCAGTGTTAAGCAAATTTTTACCATCCCAATTATATTAAAATGGTGCAATGTTTTAGAAACCGTTGAACATGATAAAGGATTTCTTTCAGGGTGCAAATTATTAAAAATATTCTACATTGTGAATATTTGAAGTGATTTGTTAAATTCAATGTCTATCGAAATTTGTAGGAAATAGCTGGAAAGTTCCAAAAATGCAACAGCAAAAAAATAACAGATGATGAATCTTGCCATAATCAAAGAAGCTAAAAAGAAGGTATGGGAAGAATACTTGGAGAATCTTTTCCACGACCTTAGAACAATACAAAGACCCACCATTGAAGAAAATTCAGGTCCCGAAATCCTACCAGAAGAAATAACGGCAGCCGTAGACAAATGAAGGATGAAAAGTCACCGGGATTTGATGAAATTCCTACAGAACTGCTAAAAGGTATTAGATGCAAAACAAATAAAAATAATAACTGAAATATTTAATGAAATATACAAGGCAGGAAAAGTACCAGTAGAGTGGCTCAAATCGGAGTTCCTACCATTGCCCAAAAAATCAGGAGCAAAATTTGGGAAGACTATAGGATCATAAGCTTAATGAGCCATCTGCTGAAGCTGTTGTTAAAGGTTATCCACAAAAGAATCCACGGTACTTGGGACATATAATGAGAAATAAAGGCAGATATTAGCTACTTCAATGCATTTTGCAAGGTAAAATTGAAGGAAAAATGGCCCCAGGACGAAGAAGAATATCCTGGCTTGCTAACCTGAGAGCATGGTATAGAAAGACCTCAACACAGCTATTTCGTATAGCAACCAACAAAGTCATCATAGCCAGAATGATCGCCAACGTTCGGAATGGACAGGCATCCTAAGAAGAAGAAGTTAAAATTAATATTTTTATTGGTCTTAGTATATACATTTACCTGTATTCTTTAATTGTAAAGTGATTGATTTCTCGTGTTTATTTTTAATTTTTCTACCAAACTTGGTATGTATGAATTAGGAATAACAAGTTTTTTTAATCTGTACAAATATTCAGGGTGTCCCAGTTAAATTAAATAACTTGAAAATTTATTTCCGGTTAAACCGAAAGTAGAGGAGTAATAAAAAAAGTATGGCATCAGATGCGTTGTGTCATTTTACTTGATTGCAAAGTTTCCAGTATACCGTCTTTTTCGTTTCAAAAATATTTACTGGGTTCCATACTTTATCGTAACTCTGTATATGTCCTTTGTTTTTTCTTTATTTTCTGAGTCATTATTTTAGATGTGTTATTGCATTCCGTACCATTCATTCAGGAATTCTAAAGCTGTATTGTTAATTACCATTGAGGTGGTGTTTTAGATAGTGAATTTTGGTCTAGGGTCAGTTCTGTGGAGTTGTTCTTTGAAGTATTCAACTCTATTGCGTGCTTCTTCCTTTGGACTGTCTGTATATTTGTTGTTGTTTTGTCAGTCCTTACGTATTTTAAGCCTAAGTTTATTTTCTTATATATCATATATTATGGAAAAGTTTTTACAATGTTTTTGTTTGATTACTAAGTAATTGGTAAGTAAGTCAGTTGGTAAATACTAAGTTTCTTTTTTTCTTCCATGCAAGTTGCGTATTGGTATTTCCTATTCCAGCTAGTGATGTGCTGTTTCTTTATTATTTTTCATAGACATACTCCTCTTTGCAGTAATTATACCCTCAATGATTGGTTTTTTGATATAGTATTTATATATTAATTACTATTAAACTGGGAATAAGCCATAATTAAAGATAAAAATACGTTTATTGACGTTTCAATTTCCACTTCGGAAATCGTTCTCAAAATACAAACAGTAAATTAAACAAATTTTGTTTTTTGTTACATAGTGAAAAATTCTTCTAATAATTTAATTTTATCTGACTCCTTTATATTGACAATTCAGACATACATTTTACATTTTAAAGTAGACGACTTTAAAATGGTATTGCCAATATTGTTGAGTTGCGCTCCTGGGACGACTTTACTTATAAGATAGTTCATTCGATTACATGAAATCAACTTTAACTTGAGAATATCCGTCAGAAAAAAAATCATAGCATGTAATTCGTCTTTAAAAAGACAAACACATTACATGATGACAGTAAAATTATCCTGTTAGTGATTCCATAGTAAATTATGAGGGAAAACCAGGAAAAAAACCTTATAATACTATCCCGACATTGTAAGTATTTGTTCGTGAATTTAGTTTACCTTCAACAAACATCAAAATTCTGATTTTATATGTTACGTTATTAAAAAAAAAAACATAAATGATGTATCCTCTATATGTTACTGACTTACTAATACTGGTATTTTCTTATTAATAACTTTCTCTTCCAATATTATTTATTAATAGTAAGTCAGTAACATATAGAGGATACATCATTTATGTTTTTTTAAATAACGTAACATATAAAATCAGAATTTTGATGTTTGTTGAAGGTAAACTAAATTCACGAACAAATACTTACAATGTCGGGATAGTATTATGAGGTTTTTTTCCTGGTTTTCCCTCATAATTTACTATGGAATCACTCAGGAGAATTTTACTGTCATCATGTCATGTGTTTGTCTTTTTAAAGACGAATTACATGCTATGATTTTTTTCTGACGGATATTCTCAAGTTAAAGTTGATTTCATGTAATCGAATGAACTATCTTATAAGTAAAGTCGTCCCAGGAGCGCAACTCAACAATATTGGCAATACCATTTTAAAGTCGTCTACTTTAAAATGTAAAATGTATGTCTAAATTGTCAATATAAAGGAGTCAGATAAAATTAAATTATTAGAAGAATTTTTCACTATGTAACAAAAAACAAAATTTATTTAATTTACTGTTTGTATTTTGAGAACGATTTCCGAAGTGGAAATTGAAACGTCAATAAACGTATTTTTATCTTTAATTGTGGCTTATTCCCAGTTTAATAGTAATTAATTTACAATGCCACAAGAAAATAGCTTCAGAACAATAGTATTTATATAGTTTATATAGTCTTTATATAGTCTTGAAATATTTCCAATATTTATGATTTTTTTAATTAGTTTAATGTTTTGTCGAGTTGTTTTGACGCCTTTTGGAGTAGGAACTCGTGCGATGATATTTTTGGTAATAAAACTTTTGAAAACATCTTGTATCTTCTTATAGTCACTAAGAGACCAACTTCAACATTTGATATTTCTTTTTACTCATTTATACCATAACCTAATAAGTAACTTGCATGTTTGTACATAAAAAAAAACAAAAGAATCTTTACTGATACCAATTATTATGTTAATAGGATCAAGAGAACCGCCCTAGTCAATTCAATCGAGGAATGGGAAAAGACGAAGACATAGCAGCTAAAATAAAGAGTTTGGAAAGTAAGTTTGGGCACAGACAATCAGTAGACAAAAAGCCTAAAGACTTACTTAGGGCGATAGGCAAAATCGAAACCTCGGATTGGAATATTAAAGAAATAGAAAAGAAGATTCTGGAAAATAAGTTGGGAAAACCGTCCAGGGCTGTCGATAAGGAAAAAGTTCCAAAATGGAGTAAAGAACAGTTTTTGGCTAGACAGAACAAGATGGAACAAAAACATTTGGAGAGGCAAACGAGTGAGGAGGGTGAGTAATTAGAAAACAATATAAGTAGCGTATTAATTCGTTCAGAGACCGTCAATGTAATGATAAAGAATTGGTTATAATTGATGTGGTAGTGACAGCGAAAATTATACAAGCTAACCTTAATGTCTGTTTATAATATACAGCTATAGTGTATTTTTATGTATGAGGGAGTAATAAAACAATAAATTATGTATGCAAATCCCTAAACTGTTGATACGGGTGACTCAATGAAAAACAGATATTTGTCAACAAGTTTACAGAAGTATATAGGAAAACAATTTTAAATTGAGTATGACCACCAGGTATAAAGGTTGGAGCAGAATAGAATACAATAGTTGTGAGGGTTACTAATCCCTAAATAAGGTTGCCAGTGTCGGAGTGATGGAGGTTAACAGGTACTAATGAATTTGCAAGAAATGTAAGATGTTTATTTTATTGGTTATATATAACCAATAAAAGTTTAATAAGTACCTACCTATTTGCAAAATAAAGTTTAATTCTTTAGATAAAATAAAACGTTTTATTTTATCTGAAATGAGTGCATTCCACGAAGTAAGGGTTTCAACAATCAAACATTTAATTCTTTAATTCCAGGAATCTACGACAGTAATTGACTAGATAATTACCTTCTAAACTTATTCCACAGAAAATGTGATAGTGGGTTTTTCCATTTTGTAGGAAGGTCCAAGTGGCGTATTCAAAATTCTTAACAGTTCACTAAAAGTAGGTACTTCAGTTGCAAGGTGCAGTTTATTGTGCATACTAGTGTTATGGAAAATTTGGAAGTGCCGTGTAAACGCAGAAAAAATTGGTCCTTTAACAGTTAATGAAAAAACATTAATATTTAATTGTTTTAAATCATTTACAGACAAACGTTTATGTGAAAATTTGGAAGTGCCGTGTAAACGCAGAAAAATTGGTCCTTTAACAGTTAATGAAAAAAACATTAATATTTAATTGTTTTAAATCATTTACAGACAAACGTTTATGTGAAAGTGTTGATGAGACCGTTGAGTTAGTTAGCAGTACACTTGGTGTTGGGAAATCTACGATTTACAGAGTTATTAAAGAAGAGAAATGTGGTAGTTTTCAAATGCCACGTAATGCTCCAGGGAAACCAAAATTTCAAATAGAATATCATTTTAAAGAAGGACTTCGACGGAAAGTGCATGAATTCTTCTTTAGACAAGAATTTCCAACATTGGATAAAGTTCTTGTCTCAGTTCGAGATGATAAGGATTACCCAGAATTCAGTGGAAGTACGTTATGGAAACTTTTAAAAGAAATAGGCTTCCGCTGGAAAAAGAATCCCAGAAAGTCTATTTTATTAGAAAGAAGCGATATGGTCATATGGAGAAGACATTTTCTAAGAACCATAAAGGAAATGAGAAACCAAAAAAGAAAAATATTTTATCTTGATGAAACATGGATCAACGAGGGTCATACCTACACCAAATAAATTTTGGCAGGATGAAACTGTTACAAGTCAAAGGCACGCTTTTGTAAATAACTTATCTACTGGTTTAAAACCCACCATCAGGAAAGGGACGCAGGCTGATAATAGTACACATTGGCAGTTCAGACGGTTTTGTTGAAGGTGATTTATTAACTTTTGAATCAATTCGTACCGGTGACTACCATGAAGACATGAACGCTGATGTCTTTCAAGAATGGTTCGAACAAATGATAGATCTTCTTCCTAAGAACTGTGTAATAGTAATGGATAATGCAAGTTATCACTCCAGACTTATAGAAGGACTGCCCACAACCAAGTGTTTAAAAAAAGACTTGCAGAATTGGCTGAGTTCAAAAAATATTACGTACCATCCCGAATCTATAAGAAAGGAACTTTATTCATTGTGTGCCCTTCATAAAGAAAAATTTAAAAAAATACGAAATTGATGAAATTGCCAAAAATCGTGGAATGACAGTACTTAGATCCCCACCATATCATTGTGAATTAAACCCGATTGAACTGGTATGGGCACAGATAAAGAGTGAAGTTTCAAGAAAAAATACCACTTTTAAAATTCATGATGTTAAACAGTTGTTTTTGGAGGCCGTAAATAATGTAAAACCTGAAAACTGGGAAAAGGCAGTAAATCACACTATTAAAGAAGAGGAAAAAATGTGGAAGCTGGACAATATTACTGATAAAATGATCGAGCCAGTTATTATAAATCTTGGTTCTGAAAGTTCATCTTCTGAATCTGATTTGGATTTGTAACAAGTAGCTGTAAGTTTTATATTAATATTTTTATTCATCTATTTAACATACCTTAGACGGTTTTAAAAACTCTTTTTCTCTTTTGTAATTTTTAAAAATTAAAAAAAATGTGAATTTTTTAAAACCCTTTTTAATGTAGGCCAATCAATTCTAATATAGTGTGTGATAAAAGAGGTCACTTTTGTTGTGACGAGTGTCACTGAAATAATACATTTATTTTTTACAATTATTCAAAGTAATGTTTCAATTAATCTTGAGCACGCCCATGGAGTGGTCGAAGGTACCAGTTAAAATTATGCTAATTACTCTCTCGTTCATAAAAATAAACTATAAATGTTTGTTTTATTTACAGTAAAAATATTGAATATATGTTTTTAAATAGATCTAAAAACAGACGTTAAATAAATAAATAAAATTTATTATGAAAATATTCATATACAAAGTACTTATTGAATGCTATTGCTATTTACATGGTGTTTTTCTGTTTTAGTTAAATTTGCTGAAATCGATCAAAGCATTAAAAACTTGGATCAAAAATTAAAAGAAGGTACGGCAAGAGAATTAGGACAAAACAAAGTGGCGTCTATCACGGAAAAATTAGTCGGTAAAATTCCTGCTGAACAGAAACCTCCAGAAAAAGTAAGTTAAAACATTTGCATTAGTTTATTTTTTTCTAGTATATTTTTATTACAATTTAAACTTGCAAAAAAACTTAATAGTTGCACATCAAAAACTGGTTAACTATATTCATTTTTAAATTTTAATATTTTCAAAAAAATCTATTTTTGTAAAACATAAATGTTGCCTTGAACATTTTAAAATAAGGGGAAAATGTTTTATATTTTTAAACGTGCAATATCAGGAGCTTATTCTCAGAAAAATTATACGCAATGTTGTAAATATGTAGAATGTCTACATTTATATTGAGTATGAGCGATACACAAGACATGGAAAATATACCGTCCAAAAATTACGAAACGTTCTATTCTGCGGAAATTGACAACACCACCATCCATTGATATTTCAAAACATTGGAAAGATGCATTAGTACTTAACTTTACATGTACTTTTCGGTTGTTTAGTGATTGAAAATTTTATGTAGTGCTGCGAGGTACAGGAGCGACTATCATCTGATGAGGACATGTATTTTTGTGAAGTGAGATTGAAAAACCATATAAAACCAATCTCTCCCTGTTCTGGAAAAAGGATGAAGGTACAATACCCAAAAGGGTAACTTCAAGGTGATTTGCGTACTTGTCTTGAAGTGCTCACTACATCGTTTTATTGTAAAATGAACTTAAGGTGAAGATTTGGGTGGGTTGGTAGATTCGTACGTTTCCGAAAGATGGACAGTAGTTCGTTTTTAATATATTTTGGACTCTGATATTCTGTCCCCGAATTATTTTAAGTGTGAACTCCCATTCTAAAAGTTTATTCTTTGGTTATCGTTGGAATATTGGAAATATTTTTCGGCGCTTGAGGATTTTTTTCTTTAAGCGGGTCTTAGAAGTATGTGTGTCATTGATTTGTACTCGGTGACTGTGTGTGGTTTTGTCAGTGTGTTCGAGAGTTTTTGTATGTATATTACTGGATCCCTCCGCCAACTAATAGAGGAGGGAACTATTTCGCACCCTATTGGGACCGTGCAAGTTCGGAACAGCGACACCTGGTGTCGTAAATCAGCCAAATTTACTGCGCTTTCATGTTAGATCGAGGTTACCGTATAACTGTCAAGGACGTGGCCCCAAAAAAGAATAAGAAGAAAAAGTAAGATTGAGGTTATGTCGGTATGTTATTAAAAGGTAAACGTTGATGTAGCGTTAATACAAATAAATATATTATTGAATTACAGCATTACTGTTAATATGGATGCAATAATAAAAACTGGATTTGAGAAAGTAAATCACCAAATAACTTTTCAACCAAGCACGAGTCAAAGGGAAAAGCTTTAGTAGTGGCAAATGTCAAAAAAGGATGGAAGAATTATGTGGAGTGGAAGAATTAAGAAAAATAAATTACTATAAATAATGCTAATGCATAAATTAGCAGGTTAAGCCCATGATATCATCATATTGATTTGAACAAATAATTTTTTCCCTGTCAACTTGAGAAAAATTTGAATTTGATGCATTTTTGTAAACTTTAAAAAAATAAAATTCAAACATTAAACTTGATTTTTGGGTTAAAAATGAACTCTAAGTGAATGTTATGAAACTAAAATTTACACTTAAAAGTGAACTTTTATTTATTATTTATTTCAAACTGACTTTAAAATCGGGCGCAAGAATAATGCATACTTTAGGTTATGTTACTTATGCTTTTTTATAATATTAATCCACTTTTCTCTTTGTAGTAGCTTTGTGCTTCGAAGTTGGAAACGAATAAAACTTAAATTGACAATTTTTTGTTGTATTTTTACAATTTATAACACAGCATTTCCTAAATCCCATTTTCTTCAGTGACAGAAGGTGTAAATAAACAAAACGAATATGAAATATGACAATTGACATGAATTTATGAAATCTATAATCTATGAAATGTGCAGCAAAAAATGCAAGATTTCTCCACTACTCGCGCACGATCGTTTCTCGTATCCCCTCCAAGTACTTGCACGTTGCCAATATAAAGTTGCCTGTCCAATTTAAGATTTGTGTAAAAAGGACTTCGGGGTAAACGTAAGTCTCTTAACCAACAGATGGAGGTGACAACGATTTTTTTACAGAATGGATGATTTTACTGGATTGTGCAGAGTATCTGAATACGATACCTTTTGTTTTACTTGTATCTAGAATTATTCTACACTAATTTCACCAGTGTTCGACAGATTAGGAGATTTTGTGCTCTTAAGAAAGCGCAAACTGAGTTGTATCTTTTGATAATGACCGCAAGGGCAGTGTCGTCTGTGTATAAGAATTGTAGAGCGAGAATTGCACACGGGATATTAGAATTTTTGAGATCACTGTTGTATATTTTATATAAAAAATAAGCTAGAATGGACTCCTTGAGTGAACCTGCTTTGTGAGTTAAGGGCGTAGAAATGTGATCGTGAATTTTGACTTTCATAGTTGTCACTATGGTTTTACAATCTTAAAGAATTGTAAGCAAGCCGATGTTTATTAGCTTTCGAATGAGTCCGTCATACCAGAATTGATCGCAAGCCTTTTAAACATAAAGGAACATGGCTATGGCGATATTATTGTCGTTGATGGATTGTGTGACAATGGTGATTATGTCTAACAATTCATTTGTAGTTGTGCGACCAGATTGGAATCCATATTGATATTCAGGGATAATATTAAGCTTGTTGTGGAAGCATGTAAGGGTTGTAATGTACTGGAGAGGGTTGGTAAAGAAACAGAACTAATCACCACTATACAAACCAGAAAACTGGAATACCTAGGCCACGTGATGAGGGGACCAAAATATGAAATTTTGAGACTGATAATACAGGGAAAGATTCAAGGAAGAAGATCTGTTGGCCGAAGGCAGAACTCATGGTTAAAGAATCTACGTGATTGGTACCAATGCAGATCGATTGATTTGTTTGGAGCAGCAAGTTCTAAAATAAGAATAGCCATTATGATTGCCAACCTCCGTAGGGAGACGGCACTCTAAGAAGAAGGAAGCATGTAAGTCTTTTCTTAAGAATGTACTACAGAATCTTTCCGAATGTGTTTACTATTTTCCAGGGAGGAAAAAGTAGCTGCATTTTAGATATGTATTGATTATTTTTGTCAGTTGAGGGGAGATGCTCTCAAGAAGCTGTTTAAAAGGTCTGTTCAATTCATTAGGATCAGTGAAGTTGTTTGATGATTAAGTTTATAAGGTCTATAGCCTAAGAGGCATTGTCCGATATTATTTCTGTTTCGAGCTTAAATTCACAATCAAACATCGGATTTTTTGAGGGTTGGCAGTCTTTTTTCAGGGTTTAAAAGTCTAGAGGTGGATACCTGATGTCTTGTTCGTGAATCTCTCTATTTATATTCTTGAGATTCCTTCGGATTTGACAAGCGACAGCGAAGTTAACAGGTTTCATTATATATACGTAACAATAGAAGATTAAAGATCAAGAAATAATACAATGATAAAATTTCACAAGACTGATGTTGTATGGATGTGACAGGGGTAATTGTGCCGAAACATCTAGAACTCTACTCTAAACTCTGGAATCTAAGTGGGTCAAATGAGGTTTCTTAGAATAGTGAAAGGTATTTCAAGAATTGTTAGACAAATAAATGAAGAATTAAGACAAAAAGACAGACATAACTTATATCAAAAAGAAAATAAAAAATTAAGTTCAAAATTGAAACAAGAAAGATGTACCTTTTAAAAGAAGAGGAAATTCCGAAATTTTCCTAAGGTGATTGAAAAGCCCTGATACCTTCTTTGCGATGGATCGATCTTGCTGATTCTGTTTATGACAGCGAATATATGGAAGGAAATTTACAAGTACAAAAAAAAATTGTAGACTTCTGAGCGTCACATCAAAATAGGAAAGATCAGTGATTGAGGTTGTCTCAAGAAATAGACCAATGGAAGAGAGAATCACTGACAGAATTCTTTTGGGTTGGATGGTAGTGTGATGAAACATGTAAAACGTGCCAACAGACAGACCGCGTGGTAATAGCAACTCACTTATAATGATAGATAAATAATATAATAGTAGAAATAGATAGGCAACTCAATGTATAAATTTCGTTCATTAGGACCCCTTGCGGCTGCGGTCAATACTAATCATCTTTTGGCAGCAAATTCGAATGGAAACCCCTTACATACACACCCTTTAGCGCCTCTTGCGGGCTATTTCGTTACTATTTAAAATTTACTGGAAAATAAGGATATATAAAAGATGCACAATTTTTTCTAGATATACGTATATTTATTTGTTGTTTAAGATAAAACAGTTATAAACTAATTACATAATATTTATTACACATATTTTCAGAAACAAATGTTAAATACTATTATTGTTTGCTTCCTGACAACTTACTATCATCATTTTTGTAATTTTTACATGATTTGTACACAATGGAACAATACAATACTTCACCATGTTTAGTTTTTTTACTAACACAACAATTATTTGCTACACGAGGTAACTCAAACTAAACTTTAAAAATTAAGTAACCAACTTAAATTAAAATTACTAAGAATAAATGCAATCGAAAGTTACAGATAATAAAATAAAATTGAAAACTTGTAAACAAACGGAAGATCTGTCATTACTTTTGACAGAATTGACATTGCGGAATTAAGCTTCGTTTGATTATTTTATTGACACGCCGAGACTGTGTTAAAATAAATGATTGGTTAAAGTCTTCTTGAGAGAGATAGGCTGTCATTTCTCTTTATTAACTCGCTGGGGTTAAAGCATCGAGCAATAAGACAAAAGAGGGAATCTAATCCTTATGAAAAGGAGACCAAAAAAGTGGCCTCTGATGTCGGACATATCCGGAAATGCGAATGCGCCAAATTTAAATTTTCCGACACTTATCAACAGTAGCTATATAATATTTTTCAGAATGTGTTTTAGACGAGAAAGTTTTAATTAATTATTAGTGATAAGAGTCTAAAATGCGACACAATTGTTAAAAAACTTCAATATAAATAAGATTTCATGTGACATTTGGGACAAACAATAACATAACCCAACTAAATTTGATGTCAAACAAGGAGAGAGACTCTCTTTCCTTGTTTAATGTGGCCTCTAAAGATTGCACTTCCTGTCTAACAATATGTTTGCCCCCACTACCTTTACATTCCCTCTATTGTCTTTTTGCTCGATGGGTTAAAGTGATGGGGGAATTAACCAAGGTCGTTCATATAAGATTCCAGGGCATGCCTATAACATCCAAAGGAACATAACAGTGATCAATGATCAGCACGGTCAGCTACATAAGAGTCGTCCGAAAGCGATACAGTTAAAAACACGGAAAACGTTTAGTCTGAATTTGGTTGAAAAAGCCTTCTATTAAATTCTAAATCTTTGTTTTCCCCTTTACTTATTTACGAGAAATGTTATTCGCTCCGTGCGTGACCATGGTAGGGGTACATTGAAACGACGCCAGCGTACATAGCGGCGAAATATGACAAAATTGGAATATTGGACAAAATATTTTTACGCATAAATTTTATCAAAAATGTGTGCAAATACATGTTGCGTATTTAATTATGCTAATAATAGCAAAAACAGTGAGTGTAGTTTTTATAGGTTCCCAAAGATTACATATAAATTAGAGAAAAGAAAAAGATAAATTCCTGCTATTAATATGAAAAAGTAAATATCACATAATTTCATTTTTACGCAATTGAAATAGGAAAAATTTAAATAATTTACCTTGAATGATATTTCATAAGGCTTCAAGCTAACTGCAGATGACTTTAGCTTTTATATCATAACTTTTACTATTATTGTTTTTAAATATATGCTCTTTTGCGTGAAAAACTTGATTTGTCAGTACTAGATTTTTCCCTTTCTCTTACGTTTGGAGTTGAAAAGATATATTATGATGAATTTTGAGAAACCCAGTTTTTAATACTACATTTATTTTGTACATAAACTGAAAAAATATAGTTAAAAAACTAATTTATTAATAATTGTCAATTTCGCATGTATTTAACAATGTCAAACATATGTCATATGTTTAACCTGAAAATTGGGACTCCAAAATTGTCAGAAAAAGGCGGTAGGTGTCGTGTCAGTCACGCACGGAGCGAATATATAAATATATATTTAAAATACATGTTTAAGTAAGTATTCTATTAAACATTCTAGACGAATCGTCAGCCAGCTTTACCAACGCCCAATAATTCCGAATTTTGTCACTTCTGCAAGAAGCGTGTCTATCTTATGGAACGGTTGTCTGCAGAAGGAAGGTTCTTCCATCATGGGTGCTTTAAGTAAGTAATTTTGAATGATTCATAATTATTTTTCGAAGAATGTGTTTCAAGATCACTGAAAGCAACAAAATATAGGTAATATAATTCCATAAACATTTCTATTTATTCATTTTTACTTTAAAATCTGAAAAAATCATAGGGTGTAAGCAAACAAGTGGAGAATTTTCATAAATGTGGTTAACCCTAATTTATTTTAATAATGACACATTTATATCATTTTTACAAGGTTTGTTTTTACTTTTAGATGTCAGTATTGCAATGTTCAGTTACGGCTTGGATCGTATACATTCGATCGAGATGGTTTGTACGGATATAGATTCTTCTGTTTACAACACTTCGGAATGGTAAGAGAAGAATCACCAGCCAAAGTAACGAGAGCACCTTCAACGAAGCGGGTTGATAGAACCAGTCCAGATAAGAAATCTTTGGGCATCGCTGGAGTTGACTTACTCGATAAAGGTAAGTGTTGCAGTTGTGTTTTTCGACATTTCATATTATTGAAAACAAATATTTTGTTTCAGTGCAAACACCAGAACGAATTGAATTTTCTAACCTATCTTCTGGCCATGTTTCATCAGATCAAGAAGATTCTCTTAATCAAATTGATGAAGATGAATGGACTGATAAAAATTTCGGTGCTTCTTGTGCGGAAATGGAAGATAGTGATGAAGCTTCCTCTAGTTTCAGGTAAATAAATTTTAATAATTCTTTAGGTACATCAATATTAGGCAATATCGTTACACGTTATTTACAAACTTTTATTAGAAGAAAACGATATCCATTAATTACTACAAAAAAATTATTTAAAAATTCAAATTGTCATTAATATCAGTCCGCCATTACAGTTACAAAATACATTGTTGCCAAAACTATGCAAATTTAGAAACAATAATTGTAATTGTTCGCAAAGATCTAACTGGCAACAATGCCCACGATTCTCAAAATGAAAACTGAAAAAGTTCAGCCCACTCGATGGTGCTGGAAAATGATTCTAGTAGCCCAAGCGAAGCACAATCGTGAAAATCTATAGTTACATCTCATTCAATTAACAGGAAATATTACCTGCTCTCTTATTCACTGGATACGCCCAAATATATCCTGTTCTGCTTTAGACTTTATCTCTTTTTTCAACTAAACTTTTAACCAAATATGTTCCCATATATAAGAATTACAATCTTAAGTGATAATATTCTTGTCAAATGAATTTTCAAAGCACATTTAAGATTCTTTCTATATTGTTCTTTAACGTTTTGGCGAATTAACTGAAACTAGGCTAAAATATTGCACAGTTACAATAAATAAATCAAACATTACATTTTAGTGACCCTGACAGTGATGATGAAGGTGCCTACGATGATGCTTTAGAAGAACCTGTTACAAAAGAAGGTACTTTGAAATGGGCTGAACGATGGAAGAATAGTTATTCGAGGAAAAAACGGAATTCGCATTCGGACGAATACAGCAGTAGTGATCAGTCGAGTTATTATGATAGTTCAGACGGTAAGTAAAGTGATTTATATACGATGTAATATACGCATACCCTATATACGTATCTTTCGTAAAAATCTAGTGCAGGTTAAGGTTAAATAGTAAATAGTCTTGTTCCTCTTTTTATGTTGCCGACTGTTGTTACCGGCTCTCGCTGTCTTTACTACTCTATTTGTTGTCATTAGGCTTAATAATCATCTCATTCTACTTTTCTATTTCTTACCCAGTCCTTGATGTCCTCCACCTTGCATCTACGTCGTATATCTGTACTTCTAGTTCTGACCCATAGTGTTTTACCATCAATTTTTCTAGGTGTTTTCATTTCTGCTGTTTCTAACATTCGTTTCGTAGCTAGATAATGTGATGCCTAGATATTAACTCCATCACTTGTTTTATTCAATTTATTATCCGACAAGCGAGAGCTGGCGGGTGAGCTGCGCGAAAATAGAAAAGGAATTATTCTAAGAGAGATACGAGAGGTACTTAATTGCTGGTGTCACAAACGCGTAGTTGCCGTATCAAAAATTTAGTTGGGATCTGAAAATTACGTTAATAGATATGTTCCATGGTTGTGTCATTGCGTGCGTGATAAACTTATTTACCACGAAAACAAAATAAAAATAATAATATTGAATAAAACGTAGAAAAAAATTTGTTAATAATACTTATTTTCATAAAACGTAATAAATTCTCGAAGGGAAGGTATTTTTGTATGTATCGCGGACTGATGCAACTTGTGTGTCTTACTCATCACTGTGTGTGATGATTACTAAACTAAATACACTAAACACAACACACGTTCTTTGCTTATTTTCTCAGCCAGACGGTAAACTCAGGTATTATCGGCCTTTTATCTTGTGATGTTATTGCTTACAATATCATATTTCGTTTCCCATTTATGAAAAATTCAACGTATTCAAATGTATAATTAAAGCATATCTGTAGTAAATAACCATATTGGAGAAACACATTTCAATTTTTATGTCATTTCTATTTCACATGTATATAACCAATTGCGATAATGTAAATTTTAACATGAAGAACTGTTATTTAATTTTTGAAATAATTAGCTTGTCGCTACAGATATACGTTGTATTATCAATAATAGTGAACTGTAAAGTACTAATTAACTGATTCATTGTTTACTTATTATTTACTGGTATTTTTTTGTTCTGTAAGTTTTTATTTATTGATTATAATTTTATTGATTGTAACTTAAATTAAATGATTTAAATCTGAATTTATTTTGAAAATGAGTATTATAATTACCAGTTAATTGAGCTACACGTTCTTGTATCTTTTTTAAATCAACTAACACTTTATCTGCATTAGCTTCTTCGGTTGTAAACTTAAAAAACATTGAAAATTATTTCTCGTGCTTGAGATCCCAAATGTTTGCGTTTTAATACACTTGCCATTTTAATAAATATAAGTAATAGTTTGTAATATAGGGCTACTCCAAATAAAAATGTAAATACTTGACACTGTTAGAAATCTAGCACTAATGACACGATGTGAACTCCTAGCCGACTGCAATAGAAATGAGCAATCCCTTTCACTTTTTAATTTGTTCTAGGCGCAACCCGCCAGCTCTCGCTTGTCGAATAATAGATCTTAGTAAATTTTCTGTTGAAACCATGCATTTTGTCTTTTTTGGGGAAATTGACTTGTTAAATTTTCTGGCGGTCATATTAAATTGGTGCAGCCTACGTTGTAAATCTTCACTTTGCGTCGTCTGTATAGCAGATTATTCTAAGTTGTTGTTCTCCCATATGGTATTCTTTTTAGTTCTTACTTTTTTTATTATTTCATCCATAATAAGATTGAACAATAGAGGACTCAGGGAATCTCCCTGTCTTATCCAATTGCTAGCTTTAATAGCGTTAGTTAGTTCTTCTTTTACTTTTATTATGTTTTTATTTTTACAACCTTGTTGCTGTTGTCGCTGTACGAAATATCGGAATTTGGGCTACAGAAATGCGTTGTGTTGTACCAGCAGAATTGACGTTTCGCGGAACCCAATGATGATTCTACTCTGATAATCCTGGTAGGGCCACTGGTCTATTTATCGAATTGTGCATCTTTTCGTCACCCCGTAAGCAAGAGCTAGTGTGTCATGGTGGAGCTATAAAAAAAGAAAAATATGGCAAAATATCTTCCAGCGGAAATTGTTCACATTATGAAAAATATATCTGTATTAAGCTATCTACAAACCTTTATACAGACTTAACTGTAGTATAGCGATCTGGCATAACGATACGCGGTCATGCGCCGTGATAAAATGTTGAGCAACTGAAAAGTTGGCGATGTATCTTAATGAAAGTTATAATAGATAAATCTTAAAAAGTATATGTCAATGTGTTAAAATAAATTTTTTATTTGACAGTCGTCAAGAAACTGATGTCACTCACACGCTTTATGCGGTTAAGATTTCTCAGGTGTATGTATTATTATAAACAACTCGTATTGTGATGTTGATTTTTTACGTCAGTTGTTGAAGTCAGTGTTTGGATTTTGTAATAAAATATACCGAATGTTTCAGGTTAGAAAAACATAATCCTAAAATGACGCAATTATATGGTATCTATATCTTTGTCGGTTTGAAGAGGATGAATTTACGATAAGTGTGGCAACACTACGGTGGTTTAAGTTAAATTTGCGTTTCTATCTATTTTGTTTCTGCATTAAATTCGTATTAATTGCAGTATAATATAGTTTATATATTCGGGCATTATATAAATGAAACATTCGGTATTATTACGCCCAATTTTCATTTAAAAAGTACCAAATGATAAGGTATGATGAAAATGTTTTATTTCTAGTTTTCATCAATGTTGTTTTGTTATTTTTCACAGTCGTTACTAACTTTATTCGTATGTATTAATAGGTTTGAATCTACAAATTCTGCCTGACTTCATTTTCAATATTTAAATGCATCCCTCAGCACCCCGTCGATTTGCATAACTGTCTCAGTACAGTCCATGATTATTTCTATTAGTTTTACCAGCTTATAAATTGTTGATAGTTGATCTTTTTGGTCTAAGTATTATACTGTTATCCAGAAGATTATTTCCTCTGCTATTCATGAATAACTATCTTTTATCTTTAAAATATTTTACCCTGCGATATGTTTAGGTATAATTCAACCTTATCGGGTAGTGATAAAGCCAAACAAATATGTGGAGAGAGAAGAGCAAGATTTTAGATAATGTTTGGCACACCACTTAGCGTCATCTACTTTTTGTCTACGAAAATAGACAGCACTGTGCGTATCTTAACTACGTAGAATGACACTCAATGGTGTCTATTTTTTGTCATCTAAAGTAGATGGCGCTACACAGTAACATCACTCTGTTAAGTGGAAAGTTTGCTTAAGTATATTGCGTTTCTCTCTGTCAAGGACAGGCTTTTAGATAGAAAAGATCATTATAAAACGAATCGTAGACATGTGTTTTTGGCAGTTAGAGGTAATTTTCAAATATTTTAGCCGTTGCTACCTAGTGATACGGTACTGTTGTTGTTGGTTTAGTCACTTCTTTCAACTAAGTTTAATTTTCTGTTGGAGCTCCCGTTTCTTCTAAAAATATGTGTTCTATTATGTTAGCTCTATGTTTTATGTTAGCTGAAGCCAAAAGGTCGTTTGATTATAAATTTGTGTCTCTAAATACATAAATATTTAAGCTTGTTATAGTAATTTGATAAATTATTAGGAACGACTGTGGAAATAATGTATTATGTATGAAAATATATCTATGATTGTGTTCTATTCGTATACTGCGCATCATGGAAAGCTGGTACACTTGTTTTTCTCAATGTAAAACTAACTTAATGGTTAAAAATGACAATCAGATTTAAAATGACAAGTCATTTAAGTAAGTTTAAAGCATTAAAAAATAGCGCTACAATGAAACTATGGGCAGAAAAAAAGAATTTTTAAACCAGCTATAACCACAGCACGAGATGAAACTATAACTGATTATTTAAGCATCTCTCTAATGCGTCAAGACAGGCATAGGTTGAAACTCACCTAACCTTTAGTAAAAAAGCAAGAAGAAAAATTAATTTGAAGAACTGCGAAAATAAAAATCTTAATGAAGAATATAAACAAAGTAGATTAATTTTCGCCTTAATTTTTTTTAATGGTACAGTAAACTCTTCGATGTAGGGAATTTTACCTAATAAAAAAGTGTTCTAATGATCGAAAATATTTACCAAAACAACACAATAAAAGTAAAAATAGAAGAAGAACTAACATACTCTGTTGAAGCTGGCAATGGTATAAGGCAGGGAGATCCTCTGAATCCTTTATTGTTCAACCTGATTATGGATCAAATAATAAAAAAATTAAGAACTAAAAAAGGATACCAAATGGGAGAAAAACAACTTAAAATAATCTGCTATGCAGACGAGGCAATACTACTCTGTAAAGACAAAATGCATGGTTATAAGTTTCAGTTTCAGATAGGACTTAGAGAAGGAGGCAGCCAATCATGCCTTCTATTTAATATTTCACTAAAGAAAGCGATAAGAGAATCTGGAATAACAACCAGAGGAACTATTATTAATCGCAGCGTACAATTACTAGCGTACGCCGATGACATCGATATTATTGCAAGAAGAAAGTCGGACGTGGTCGAAACATTCAATGCGCTTGAAGCAGCAACAAAAAGAATGGGACTAGAGGTTAACACTAGTAAGACGAAGTATATGAAAGTATTAAATTATATACAAGCAGCACAACCCGAAGATCTAACGATCGGAACATATACTTTCGAAGGATAAGACAGTTTATATACCTAAGCTCACAAATTGATCAGAATAATGCAGTAAGTGCAGAAATTAACAGATGGATATATCTGGAAAATAGATCCTATTTTTTAATCCATAGTTAAAAGCCTAGTTACAAACAGAACGAAACTAGTGATATACAGAACTCTTATCAAGCCAATCCTCACATACGCGTCGGAAACATGGACAATGACAAAGAGCGATGAAGAACGTTTAAGATGCTT